GGCCACCTGGGCACACGCTGGCTCATGTTCAGCCAGCTGCCCACCAGCACCCCCAGGGCCTTTTCTGCCAGGCAGGATCTGCCTGCGATCAGGGATCCTGCAGCAAGCCATCACCATCCATCCCCCACTTCTCTTGACACCACCTCCCCAACGTGCGGCTCCCTCCCGTGTGACACCAGGCATCACCCCCCAGCAGCTCCCTCCAGCTCCAGCTCCGGCAGCTGCCAGCCCAGGTGCGGGGCCGGGCAGGACCTGGCACAGTCAGACACAGTGGCAGTGGCCACCCTCTGCTCAAGCTGGCCTGGGGAGCTCAGCTCTGTGGCACCCAGCAGTGAGGTCGGCACCCGTCCTGCCCCCACCCACCACCACGGGCAGCTGGGGGTGTACCCCAGGGTGTCCCAGGACCCATTGCCCTCGGCACCCTCTTACCTCCACGGGGCTGCTGGAGCCTGGGCAATGTGCAGAGCAGCTCTTGGGCAACTGGAGGCTACTGGGAGCCCCAGCCAAGCCTTGATGAAGGTCTCCCCATTGAAACTGGGTCCCGAAGCCAGAGCACAGGGGAAGAAAGCAGCGAAGCAGCCACCTGGGACTCTCCAAGCACATGCAGGGAACACCAAGGCAAGGAAACTCAGCTGGGGGATTCAGAGAATAAGTATTTTTTTTGTTCCAGCATGGAAACTTGGTGACCGAACAGGTGAAGCAGCTCCTCCAAACCCTCCTGCATTAAGAAAAGAAATGGGGGTTAGAAGCTGTTTTTGCCTTACAGCTATGGAGGTGGATTGGGTTGAAGGGAAGAGTCCAACCTGTGACAGCTTGCTATGCGGCCAGCCAGCCTCACAGCACCCTCCAGGAGCTCCTGGCTCCAGAGCTGCCACATCCAGTGTGGCCACCATCGTGTCTCTGTGGAGGGCAGACCTGCACGCAGTGTGGCCATGGAGCTACACAGGAGGAGACCCAGGGGAGACAGAGGGAAACTGTGGGAGGGAACCAGCCCCAGAACAGGCACAGGGAGAAGAGCAAGGAGCCAGGGACTACTCCTGCAGCACAGTGACGGCCACAAGCCACCTGCCTGAAGTGGGGCAGGTCTGTGGGCACGCAGTGATGTCCCACCATGCTCACAGCCCCTTCCCAGCATGGCAGAGACTGGCCGGACAGAGCTGGCTGGGCCTCTTCCCCCCACCCCGCCTTCCACCTTCTCACCAGCTTAAGGTCACCTCCTCATCCCGCCCATTAGCGAGAAGTCAGGATTGGCCCTTTGATTTATTTAAGCAGTGACAAAGATTTTAAAGTGTTGGAAGTGCCATTTTTCACCGCCGACTAAAAATAGCCGAGTGAAATTCCAGAGCTGCCTCCCAGTGCTGCTGGCTGCGCTCAGCTTCCCAGGACAATGACATTTGTAGCCTGCTAGCAACAACAGCACGGGCCAGGCTCCAGCTCCCGAAATAACAAGTTATAAAGGGCAAATTCTGTCTTTAATTACAGCCAGGCAAAAAAGTAGCGTTTCAAAAAGAGCATTATCAGAATATCTGAGCACACGGTGCCGATGTGAAACCGAGCCGGGGAATGTGGCAAGAGTGGTGTGGGTTTACTAGACATGAAATACAAATTCAACGTGTGTTACCAAGGGCACCAGGCCCAGGCAGTTGAAGCATTTAGAAGAGATGAAGCCCTGGGGAATGAAGAGGGGAAAAAACACGCTGAGAGAGCCAGCAGAAGGTGCTCACCCGCCGCAAGCACGGCTGTGGGGTCCAGGTTTGGGAGTGGGGTGGTGCTGGTGGAGCAGCATGGGGCCAGGACCCTGGGGGCACGCTTTGAACCTCCCAAGGAGATGCACAGAAGTGGCTCTGTGTGACACGTTGGAGGCAACACTATTTCTCCTCTCGCTTCCAGGTAACCAAGATCTGATACCTGCTGGGGAGATGGTCAACGAGGCTGCAACAAACCGCTGGCTGAAGGGTTGAAGGGCGCCAGCCGCCGTGTTTTGGCAGCTCCAAGGAAGAAAATCGTTTCACCGCCTTTCTCTCCAGCAGCCTCACCTTTCTGTAACTGCAAAGTGCCTCTGGACGAGTTACAGACCGAGCAGCTTTTGCTGCCAGCCAGCTGGAGGGGCTTAGGGGTGCACGGCCCGGCATGTGGCTCCCGTGGACTGGCCACACTGGTGTTCTCTCACTGAAACATGAAGGGGAAGAGACCTGAGAACCAGCCAAGGAGATTAGTGAGGAAACAGCAGCTTCCAAGCACATCTGGCACAGAGAGCTTGCGACACTGCATCAGGCAGCTCTCGGGCATCCCTCTGCAGCAGCCAGGCTTCGCTGCTCCTCCTTTCCCCTCAGAATGCAATGCTGAAAAAGCAGAAACCAGGTTTGCTGTCGCTGCCAGTAAATGGTTAACTAAGAACAATTTCTGTGGTTTTTGAAAACAATATACATCCACATGCCTGGTCCCACCAGCTGGTGAGACTGTGTGGGCAGTTTTCTGCAAGTAAAAGCTTCTCCTGTGACATTCGCTGACGGATGGGATTATTTTTTTCTAATATTTTGTGCTGATCTCAGCTCGATGCTTTTATCTGCCCCACGAGCTGAACGGAGATCAGTTTTCTGGAGCGAGGCTGTGGCAACGTGAGATGCATGCAGCAGAGTGGGGTTGTGCATCAGCTTTACTCTGCTCCGGCAGAAACGTCACACCTCCCAGAGCTGCGCCCTCCTGAGACGCGAGGAGCCCGAGCCATGTGCTCCCCTCTGCCCCAACTCCAGATCTCGGACCGTGAGGCAGAAAGCACAAGAACTGAGGTCCAGCTGAGCTCCCAGAACACCTCCTCGTGGCAGGAGCAAGCACCTAACAGCAACAGGCAGGCAGCTACACGGCCCAGATCCTGCGCTGCTACTGGGGCAGGAGGTGGGTGCTCAGCTTCAGCCAGAGAATTGCTGCCAGGCAAGAGCAGCAGGAGGGTTGTTTAAATTCCTGCTACTAATGATGTTTTCTAGGTACTGCCTTCCTAGGCAGTGAGGGAGACAGGTCCCCTCTGAGAAAGTTGTTCTTTACATCTAGGTTGGGCACAGAAGCCAGAGGTGTTGGGCACAGAAGCCAGAGGTGTCGGGCCCACACAGCTTCTGATCCAGGTTTGTCCCACATTACGAGACAAGGTAGAAAAGGTTTCTTAAAAAAAAAACCAAAAACCAACCAACACCCAGGTGTTCTGTGACTGAATACGAAGAGCAGGTTTCTTCATCTGTAGGGTGGGTTTCATCAGCCTCAGTTGTTCAGCAGACCACTCCAGGTAACACTCACAGCACAACTTGCTTTGAATGTGGGTTGCTGGTTTTTACCCCCCCCCCCCCCTTTTGAGGGTGTTTTGGTTTTTTTTTTTTCCCCCCCCCCCCCGCTTCTGAGGTTAAGTTTCTACTACAGCTTAAGAGCAACTCAGTACAATGAAGAAACAAGATGTTCAAGCCCAAGTATGGAACAGCCACCTCAAACTTCAAGTTACTGACCTGCAGCTGGCCCTGAGCTGAGAGTAAAACAGATGTTTCCTGGACTTAAGAGGAAAAAAAAAAACATCAGGAGTCCGCACTATATTCTTAAATATGGTTTAATACTCTTCTCCATTTCTGTACATCACAACACCAAGATATCACTGCTTGGGATCTCTCTGCAGAGGCTATATAGTATGCGAAGGCTAGGATTTTTCACCCCCGTTTAACGTGTTTGTATGTGTAAGTGTAATACATATCAGTATATATTGATATACACATCAATATATAATGCAATATATATCACTGAAGAGAACACATTGATTAAAGAAATACAAAAATTTGGCATCATTTCCAAACTTAAATAGTAAAAATAAAAACTACAAAAAGGAGCTGCATACCCTAAATGTATCATGTGAAACAACAAGCAGTATATTCAAAAATGTAAATTTACATCCAATTTTTCTGGTCTTGTCATGTCACATTAGACCCATTTACAATGGCAAAATCCAGAACATACCGCTGTGGAGCCCGCAAATGTGCTCAAACCTGGGTCTGTGCAAATCCGGGGTGGACCCAGTCACACGTTCCGTGAGATTCCAGCTTGGATGTGGAAACGACAGCAAAGCCATCTGCCAGGTTACAAACCAGGGCTACAAATCATATTGCTCACAACGACAGTAATTTTGGACCTCAAAAAACAGCGTGGCAGAAATTTTAAGACAAACTTCCCCCTCACCACCCCCATCTCCATCTCCATTCAAGTGAAACAGGATTATTGTGAAAAATAGGCAGGTATGCAGCTTGGAACAGAAGCCGCTTTTGACTTGATGCACCAGGAGTGACAGAGCCAGGGCAGACCAGACCGAGCGGGTACCACGGTGTCCAAGCACCCCTCGGAGGACCCCAAAAAAAGCAGCCAGATTCGTGCATTACCTCGTTGCCAATGCTCACTCCACCCTGTCTGTCAGACCCCCTGAAAAACCCTCAGCCGCTTCTAGGAGGTTGAAATGCATTCTATATAGCAGGTAGGACAAAAAGCTTTCTTCAGTCTTGATGCCACCAGAAGTTTGAACCCGTTCAAGGTGCTTTAGAGCTCAGCGCCGGATTTACAGGCCGCTTGGGAGCCGACAGAACTCTGCCTCAGTGCTGGGAGATGGATGCCCCTGGGGGGCTGTCCTGGCCCCCAACTGACCGGTATCGAATGCTCCAAATGCACCAGCACTGAGGGTTCAGTCAAGGACTCCACTGGCTAAGAACGTCTGCAAATAACCCGCTTCCCGTTAAAGAACCTGGGGTTCAAATTCACATCATCAAGGAAACCTTACACAGTCCTAAAGCCAAAAGAAAAACCTTAGTCAGGGACAAAACAAAGTGTACCTTACTTCACTTAAATCGGATGTTTATTTTCTGTCAAGACTGAAAAAAATAAATCCAAACAAAAAAAAGAAAGAAAAAAAAAAAATCACCAACCAAAAAATTCCTGAAGGCTGCACTGCTCAAATCCAAATTAAGCCCAAGACTTGAGCAGCATTTTCATTGCAATCAATGAAGTGCATTTATTTCCTAGTTTGTGAGAGCAGCGCTTCTGCAAATAGATTAAAGCACGTTTGGCTGGTAAGCCTCCCCAAACCCCCTGAATTTACAAGCCACACGTTAGAAGCCAGCACTCCAGCTAATGCCTTCTCATTCTTTTGAAGAGAATGAACGGCTCCAATTTCCTTACGTTTCTTCTTCTGCAGTCTAAGCTGAGAATGCCATGTAAATGGGTCAGGCTGCTGCCAAATGCAGCGACTGATTTCTCCAATCAAAGTAGAAAGAAACAAACCAGTAGGATCTTATTTCTATTAAATTTTGAAGGAAGAGGTTTACAGCAGTTAATGTATCATGAAGGTTAAAAAAATCATTTTCGTAAAATACAAGAGCAACCAATTTCACCATTGAGTAAAAGTAAAAACTGGGATTCTTTTTAAATTAGTCCAAAGTGGCATATAGGAACTTAGTAGCTTGCTGCTGTACTGACACTATGACAAATCAAAGTGTAGGGTTTTGCTTTTTTAAATCCAATGCTTGTGGATCAAGTTCTGGAAATGTTCCAATTCTAAGGCAGGGATCTGTTGTGTTTTCCACCATGAGTTTGCTCCTTGGGTTGGATGCTGGAGGGGCGAGGCACGTTTTGCCGGACCCAGGTCGACTACCTAGTAGTCATCAAGGTCAAAAAATTCATCGTCTCCTCCTTGGTATTCCATTCCCTGGAAGTCCACTCGGTACCGCAAGATACCTGGTAAAAACAACACATTTGAGCTTCTTCAAAATCCAAAGAGCTAGAAAGGCATTTTAAACCGTTTACTGAGCCCTGTCTGCACGTCAAGAGCTTCTCGACTCCATTTTCAGACGCTGACTTGGCCCTTGCACCGCAGGTCAGGCTCGGAGTGCAGCTCCAGCGATGGTGCCACAACCCTGTTACAGCCTGGTCCGACCTGCTGGCGAAAGGGGGAACACCCATCTGCCCAGCACAGGCCAAGGCTTCTTCTGGAAAAGCTGACCCTGTTCTAGGAGGGCCACACCTCCAAAAAAATACCAGATCGTTTGTCCTGACAGACCTGCTCAGACAAAGGCCTGTCAGTCAAATTCAGCCCGCAGCTGGCACTGAAGTAACTTTTACAGTGGAGGGAGAGCAGCATTTAGTGGCTGTCCTGCTGCTCTCTTCCCACCCCAAACACCAGCCTGGGCTTCTGGGAAGCCTTTGTCCCTAGAAATATTTACTTAGGTGAAGGGTATTCAAGGAGTATTTCAAGTCTACAGAGACTGGAGCATGGTAGCAACAGGGATACCACCATGCAAAGAGGATGGATCTGGCAGGACAAGAAGGATACCTGGAATTACAGACCCTGAGAAACCTGTTGCTCCTTATGTAGCCAAACAATTGAAGCTTGTGTCCCCCTGACTGGTGTTCTCTGGCCCCCAGAAATGCATCTTCACAACAGACTCATCTTTGTTTTGCTCTGTCAGAAACAGTGTGGCCAGCAGGACTAGGGCAGGAACAGTCCCCCTGGACACTGCACTGGGGAGGCCACACCTCAAATCCTGGGTTCAGTTTTGGGCCCCTCCCTCCAAGAAGGACCTTGAGGAGCTGGAGTGCGGCTAGAGAAGGGCAGCAAAGCTGGGGAAGGGTCCAAAGCCCAAGTCTGGGGAGAAGGAGCTGAGCTTGTTGAGCCTGGAGCAAAGGAGGCTCAGGGGAGACCTTCTGGCTCTCCACAGCTCCCTGACAGGAGGCTGGAGCCAGGTGGGGGTCGGGCTCTTCTCCAAAAGAAAAAGAGACAGGACAAGAGGAAATGGCCTCAAGTTGGACTAGGGGAGGCTTACATTAGACCTGAGGAACAGTTTCTTCCCCTTGAGTGTTGTGTAGGCCTGTCCCAGGCTGCCCAGGGCAGTGGTGGCGTCCCCATCCCTGGAGGGGTTTCCAAGCCATGGAGATGTGGTGCTGAGGGACATGGGTCAGTGGGGACCTGGCAGTGCTGGGGGAATGGTTGGACTTGATGATCTGAAAGGTATTCTCCATCCCAAACAATGCTGTTTTACACTCATCAACCTAAACACAGCAAATGGCAGCAGCTGGCTTATCAGCAAATAAGCAACAGCTTTGTCCTGGAATCCCTTGTCCGGGGAAAACAATATGCACAGCAGGTGATTTTGCTCTACCCTGCTACTGATTTTTGTCAGACAAGCACATGATCTATCTGCACCTCCACCACACTTAGCTGAAACTGATCAGTGAGCTCAAGAGGAGGACCCAAGGCTTCCAGAAGCCTCGTTTCTCCTCAGATTTGGTTTAAAAATACTTTTATTTTGAAAAGAAGCAGAGGACCAGGAAGCAAAGCACAGGAAAATTCTGAGAGATGAGTAACAAGATATCCAACTGCTTCAGAAACTAGGCTGCTGTTTGTCAGAGACCACTTCTACACAGCAGGACGTGGTCTGCCACAGAACTACTTTGCAGAGCGAAGCAATTCCCAGCCCTTCTGGAACCCATCAGCTGGGAAGGATGACAGTCTACCCTCTGAGCACTCTGGAGGACAAAGGGACCCCAGGAACACAGTCGAAGTGACAACTGCCTAACATGCTGCATCATCTTGCCAAATACAGAATGAATTCACCTGGAGATCCCTGATAAACACAATTTCTTGAACTGGCATCATGACTAAGAGAAATAAGTTTAACCCCACATGTGCTGGCACCAGATTATCAAATCAACCATTAAAAAAAGAAACACTTTTTTCTTGCAGTTTACCTCCAATTCCTCCAAATCCTTTCACAAATTGGGATCCTTCCTGTGATTTGTCTGTAACAATTTCCAATGTTGCTCCAAATTTCTTGTAGTTGTTTGCAAACCACTCCAGAAGGGGCATACTTTCTATCAGTTCATGTTCCTGGCCGGTCTACGTAGACATTTGAGGGGGAAAAAAGAATTAAAACAACAAGTTACAGACCCTGCAATGTTAGGTATTGAGAAAATTCATATCAAAAGTTGTCCTTGGCTTAAAGATCAGCACTGTCTTTTCAGCCCTGAGACAGAGACAGCAGCCTTCATGCTCAGCAGGCTGGAGCAGCCCGGCACACTCGCCAGGGCGTTCCCGAGATCTGTACTGGACAAGTTGGCACGAGCTGAAGGCTCCTGGTGCTGAGAAATTAAACACTGACAGGCCTTGTTTCAGGCCTCTGTGCTACCGAAGTTAGTGCAGAAGCAGGAGAGAAAATGCCTCGTTTCTTCTGCTCAGCTGTCACCTCATGCTACACTCTTAGTTTTCACCCTTCCTTTTCGATTTGCTCCATAGCCTGCTAACAGTCCCTCGTCATTCATCTAAGCAGGCACTGTTTACTCTAGGAAATACTGATCTGTGCAAACACAGAGGCAAAAAGCATGGTTTTCCAAGCAGAAGGCTGAGTGATTATTGGCATAGAAACACTGCACCGTAGCAGATAAGACCACAAACCTTCCGTGCACAGAAGGAATTAGCAATTACCCCACCAGGAGGGAAAGCAGCTGGACATGGCCACCCTGGCAGCTCCAACACAAGACAGGTGACCACCCTTTTTCCAAGGGACAGACTTTTTTTTTTCCCCCAGCTTACTCCACAAAGTAATACCCATCCTCCAGCCCGTCAAGAGTTTTTTGACTTGAACAGGCAACAAACTCACAGACAGTGAAAGACAGACCCACATTTTAAATACACCTAGAAGGTAACTCTCCCTTGCGCTTCCTGCAATCATTTCTAGCCTCACAGAGATTTTGTACTGACCAAATCAGTGCACAGAAAGCAGGGAGCAATGGTTTGGGGTCTCAGCCTGCATGTTGCATGGTGACTAGCCAACCCTTTGAGCAAATGGTATGATGGTGGTCAAAGACCCCATATTGCCTGTCCTTTCAACTCATTTACACAGCCTTGGGACTGACAGCAGGGAAGACTGGAGAAAAGCAAGAATCCAGGGGTTACATTGAAGGTGAACAGGAAGAGCCAGGGGCTACCACCTTGAAGTCTCATGTGAGTGCCAGAACAGTCATCATGCTCATGTGCTGGTGACAAACTAAGCCCAGATGTTCAGAATGCTACTCCAGTACACCAAGCATACATCTACAGGCCCCAAAGCTACAATACCTCTTTGTCTGTGAAGTGGGATTTATCCTTTTCTTGCTCTGGTGTCAAATACAGGATCTTCTCCTCTGAGACGGAAGAGGATACAAAAAACCAAACAATTAGATTGGCTAAGACTACCAGATGCAGGTTAAAGCCAGCAAGAGGCTGCCAAAAGGCCGCAGCTACAGCACAGAGGGTTTGGTCATTGACACTGCCTTTCCTTTTAGTCAAAGCTTTATGGGAAACCAAACAGGGCCCAGCAGTAGAGCATGGCTGTAGTACCAACACCACCAGGCAGAGGTCCTGCTGTGGGTGTATGGTTTGTCTAGAGCCAGTAAGAAACTGGTTTCTGGCCATAAGGGTCAAGTCAGTCTCCCCTCGGTGCTGCCCTGGTATCACATCTATACTTGCACAACTGAAAGGCAGGTTTCACTCCAGCTCTGTGACAGACTGCCATGCCAGCACTGCAGTTCTTTCTCCACAGTGCAAGCTTGTTAGCTTCAGACTTCTCCCCCAAGGTAGAAGGGAAGCTGCAAGTTAGTGACCTGCCTACACACCACCCCTGCCTTGAGCAAGTCGTTCAGGATCTACTGAGGCAGCTCCCCCAGCATAAGCTACCCAAGGCTTAGGTGTTAAACCCTTGGGGACCTCTCTGTCACACAGCAGCACTACCTACCCTCCGTGCCTTGGCAGTGCAGAACGTATCTCATTATATCCAGATTTTCATAGACTATCAGGATTTCTACTGCTCCCATTTCCAAAGCTTTTAGTGTATCTTCGACGCCGAAACAGTACTTGCCCGTGTCCTGACTGATTTCGTCGAAGTATCGTCCTGCAGCCAGGATACACAGACAGACTGTCATGAGCACTGATCAGGACACACACCTTTTTAACAAGCCTGACTGGAACACAAGGGGAAACTGGCGGAGGAGACCGCAATGCTGCTGAAGGAAGCGAGGGGTATGGTAACATGTCAAAGCGTGTCATTTCGAGCATTCAGCAGCAGGAAGTCAGCTCCATCCCACTGCCCCGTCAGGAATCTCACTCCACTGTGGAACAATCAATCCGACCAGCCCACCAGCAGGCACTATTTAACCTCACTCTTTTCAGGATAAGGTAGCTCCTGTTACTATTGCCATCAGGTGCTTTCAAATTCACAAGGTGTCTGCTGGCAGTCAAACAAGGGATCGTTTCCACTGCAGTCTTAAAACAAAATAAATCTTAACTCTCATCTTCTTGAAAGCACAAGCAATCTGAGGAGATACTTTTTCCCCCTCCCATTCAAAAGTAACCAGAAGGCCTGAAACTAAGGTGACCTCTGACGAAAAGATGAACAGAGAAGTTCTGAGAAGCTTGATGGGGAAAAAGCACCAACAAAAGCCCCCACACCTTAAACTCCCAGTAAGTCCTGCAGCATTTGAGGTAGTGCCCAGGTAGCAGAAAGGATCACTACAAGTCATGCTCTGCTCAACTGAGAGAGCACTGCAGGGCTGAGGCAGCACACAAAGGCATTACCAGAAGGTCTGGAGCAACATCAGCACGCTCAGTCAACCGTATCTGGCTCAGGAGAAGGCTGAGCATGTAGTCACATACCTATTAGTTTCTTCTCTTGAATGAATTTCACATTGGAGAGGACCTCAGTTGACAACTCAATTGCTTGATTGAATCCATTTTCTCCTCCGTATGAAATGTCAACTAGTTTGAGCACTTTGGATTGCAACCGCTGAGCAGGAGGAAGAGGAGACATAAACAAGAGTCTGTGACACAGCTCTGCCATGAGAGTGCTTCATAAGGCCACGAGGGCAAGCACCTGGCAAGAGTCACAGCATTCATCTGTTTTACTTCACTTGCAAGCAGAGGCTCCGAGTCACAGGGACCTCTGAATGCTTTACATTGAAGCACAAATTTTCAGGCAACAGGGCCACAGAGATTAGGTTTAGTGGAGTTTAATTCCAATAAAGCTTCTTCTTCAGATTTGGGAACACAAAGAATACGAACACCATTTCCAAACCGGGGAGGGCAGTTCCTTATTAGCACTGTTACTCTGAAAAGCAGATCTTACCTCCTTGCAGGAGGACACCCCTCTAGCATGCATCAGATTTTTAATTTTGATCAAATCGCTCAAGATACCAAAGCCACATCCCTCCCCAGACGCACTTTATACCAAAGCTACTATTAGTATCACCGGGCTACTGCTGACAGCTGAAACGTTTGGGCTTTGCTCAGAAAAGGCCACTCACCTGGTCAAACATGTCAGATTGACTTAATTCAGTTTTGAAGTCAGCTGATCCAGCTAAAACGAGACCAGCCACGTTCACCTTGTCGCCAGAGATGAAGAGCTGCACAGCCGTCTCCGCCACCTTCCTCACGTAGTTGTGTCGCTTCTCCATCCGCAAGCGAGCGAAGCGCAAGGCAGACTGACCTCCTCTACCTGCACGAGAGAGCAGAGGCCAGCTAGCAATTTGGAAGCCGTTTCATTTCAGGGAGGTTATTAGTGCATGGTCACAGCTGGGCCCTGAAGCCAAGGGTGGACGCAGCCTCCGGAATCAGTTTGCCACGAGCAGAGCCAGGGGCACTCATTGAGACGGCAAGTGAATGAAGAGGGTTCACTCACAGCAAGAGATTTTTCTCCATGTATCCCACAGAGGGAAATATGTTGTTGGGTTGGTTTTGTTTCTTTTTATACAGACTCAACTCTCTACAGAAATTTTGAAGATCTGTGCACGTTTTCTACAGCCTGGACTTTCATAAGCCGTCTCCTTTGTTACACTGCCTCACACACTTCTCTTGCTGATGCAACACATCCCAGTGGTCTCTGCTGCAGAAACTTCCTGGGGGAGAGGTTCTATTTAATTTTGTCCCACCCTGCTCTACAGAGAAGGACAGCAAACCAGGGGCAGCTAACAGAAATCCTCAGTGGCTCACTACAGTACAGCATCATGTAGTGGAACTAGAATTTTGCTTGCTCCATTAGGCTCTCGTGCTTCTTGCAAGGAACAGCTTCCTGCTTTTTGCTGTGGTTTGCATGTGACACCATCAGATGTAAACTTCAAAGATGCTACCAAGTGGTATTGCTGCTCATGATAGTAAGATTTAGTTAAGAGTGTCCCAAAACCAAGTCGTGTCACATGCGCCAAAAAATAAGAAGAGCCACTTTAAGAAGATAAACTGCATATTACAGTGATTCATTAATTTTGACAGAAGGCTCAGACTAGAGGCCTTGCTGTCAGATTTCAGGGGAGCAAAGAATTGAGTAGAGCTAAACACCCACAGGGCAAGTTCCCTGCTTCTGCCCTCACACCCCACCCCGTGATATTCTGCTGCAAACAGCCTGGAGACAGACTGGTGCCATACCGTGCTTCTTTGGAAGATCCACAGTGAATTTGTGCAGGACTTCTCTTGTGTTTCCTTGAAGAGTTCCAAAGAGTGCACCACTACCATCTATTACAATAAAGCCAAACTTGCTGTCGTCGGAGAGCAGCGCTGTGAGAGCCTGGAACAGAAAATGATGTTGTCAGCAGTAAGCAGCAGTTTATTAAGGACCCAGGTTCAGAAAGGCTCCCAGAAACAATACACCTCAATAAATTTTTGCTCTGTGGGTGGTCATTGCTATTTTTTACAATTAAACTGGAGGAAAAGCAGCAGATTCAGGAGCCGAGACTACGCCTGATTACCCTCTCACACAATGCCCAAAGAAAGCAAACTAATGTTCAAGCTTGATAACCATTTTCACAGCATTACCTACTCCATGGCAGGGAGGTTGGATTAGGGGATGTCTAGGGTCCCTTCCAACCTAAACCATTCTACGACTCCCACAGGCAGGTGTAATAGAAAACCCCTCGAGATCAGCTCTGGAAGGTGTTAAGTAAAACAGGTCACAGCTCCATAAGGCTGCATCACCTGCAGGGCTGGCAAAACTGGAAGAGAAATGTCCCTAGCACTCCATCCAGGAAAGCAGAAGTTGCTTAGCTCACTGGTTTAGTACTCCACAGCACCAACACTGACCAGCTTTGAATCTGAGAACTACCACCAATACTTGAAGTCAGCAGGTTTGCTGCACCTGCTGACCTCAACAAGTCTCAAAGGTAGAATCATGAAATCTGTTGTGGCTATGAAAAGGACCTGGGGGTGCTGGTTGACACCTGGCTGGAGATGAGCCAGCGTGTGCCCAGGTGGCCAAGAAGGCCACCAGCATCCTGGCCTGGATCAGCACTAGTGTGGCCAGCAGGACTAGGGCAAGGAAAGTCTCCCTGGACTCAGCACTGGGGAGGCCACACCTCAAATCTGGGGTTCAATTTTGGGCCCCTCACTCCCAGAAGGACCTTGAGGGGCTGGAGTGTGTCCAGAGAAGGGCAACAAAGCTGGGGAAGGGTCTAGACCTAGGTTTGTTGAGCCTGGAGCAAAGGAGGCTCAGGGGAGACCTTCTGGCTCTCCACAGCTCCCTGACAGGAGGTTGGAGCCAGGTGGGGGTTGGGCTCTTCTCCCAAGGAACAAGCAACAGGACAAGAGGAAATGGCCTCAAGTTGGACCAGGAGAGGTTTAGGCTGGACATTGAGGAACATGTCTTCCCCAACAGTGTTGTCCAGGGCTGTCCCAGGCTGCCCAGGGCAGTGGTGGAGTCCCCATCCCTGGAGGGGTTTCCAAGCCGTGGAGATGTGGTGCTGAGGGACATGGGTCAGTGGGGACCTGGCAGTGCTGGGGAACGGTTGAGCTCAATGATCTGAAAGGTCTCTTCCAACCAGAAGAATTCTATGATGCTATGCCAACTCAGCCTTGCAAAGCAGATTTAAGTAACAGCAGCAATAACTGTCCTGTGCATAAGTGGCTATAGAGAAGACAGCCATAACACCTGCTGGAAAATGTTATCCTTCAATTTTCTTGCCTTTAAAGCAGGCAGCTAAATTCATCCTGAAAAGTTAAGTTGACCAACAACTAAAGCACTGCTTAGTATCAAGGTTTTTGAGTTACTTTTCTCCCAATTTCCTGCCCAGCCCTGGTGCTGGTGGTGTGGGACATCCACAACTACTCAAACTCTTGTCCCTTTTTTGAGGGACCCTGTCAGCTACTGCTCCCCCAAGGGCAGCCTGAGCAGGTGGGCACATTCACCACACACTCCTGCTCACTTAATATATGCTCAGTAAAAGTAACGGCAAGAACCCTCTTTCTGGCTGGCGAAAAACCACATCAGCAGGATGGAAAACTTGTGAAATTCCAGATTGTTTTAAGTCACCAGTTGAATACTGGAAGAGTGATTGTGTTGGTTTACTGCACAGGACCTTAAAAGTGCCTCCACGCCTGCCAGCTCGATTACTGGCCTGAATGGAAAGAATAAAAAACCATCAGTCATCCCTATCCAAAATCCACACAACCAAGTCTGCAGCTTTCAAGCTTAAAAGAAACAGACACTAAGGTTTACTGGGAACTACTGGCCAAAATAAATATTCCGTATTAATTCCTCAGCAGTGGGATGAATGAGAGGAGGAAGTGGCATATTACACTGCAATCCATTTAACTGGGGCAGAGCCAAGCAAATCCTGTGACTGGAATGAACGCTCCAGCCAAGGTATCAAAGTAAGTCATTGTAAATCCCACCCTTCAGACACATATCAGGGCTGACATCTCCCTTGGGAAGTCACTGCAGATTCACACAGGCAGGAAAATATGTGGAGGAAGCCTTATCAGATACTCTTGCCAGGCAGCAGATGACCACAGCTCTGATGTTCTTGAGTCCCTCTCATTTTAATAAAGTAGCCAATGGCCAGTGATTCCCTCAGTTTCCCCTTCATTAGTTCGATGTCAGCAATTCCACCGTTTGACCTATCAAGCACAAAAAAGGGACTATTGCTTTTGTCCTGATCCTTCAGCCTGGGCCGAGTTTCCTCTTTGCAGCTTCAGCCTAAAGGTGAAGGTCATGTCCTTCCCCAGCTCCTTGCCATACCCTCACTTTCACAAGAAATCCGTGGAGGTACCAAGCCCGATGCCCTGGCTGTTGAGTTCTAGTTGCACGTTGGGAGGAACCACTGGGTTAACACCACAGCTCTACAACCAAATGAGATCGATGGACAAATCAGGACTTCAGTGCCAACATCATCTCATTGCTCAAGACACTATACAGCAGGCCTTTACAGCTAGATTTGATTCTGCAGTGCAGACAATACCAAGTACACACTCAAAAGGACACAGGAGAGCCAACAGCCCATGGAGGAAGGTGTCGTTAATAATCACAGCACCAGGAGCAGCAATTACCACAAATTCCTCTCAAGTTATTGCCACTCTCTTGCTGAGCAAGGCTCCACACCAGCAAGAGTGTATTTACAGCTGCCTCCTGGGAACAGCCCTCGGGCAGCAGCTACTTTTTTTTGTACTGAATCAGTGCCCTGAGGCAGTAGCTGCAGCCAAGACCAAATTAATCCCTTTCCTGACAGAGCAGAGGACAACCCACCACTGTCCACCTAGTGCCAACAACTGCAGGGACAAACATCTCCCTCGGCTTGGCACCTCTGGCTCTCTCCTGAATTCTCCCATTTACCTCTTGCTTTCAGCTGCCTGTGGACACGGGGGCTCAGCAGAACTCAAGAGCTGTTCCTGTGTGCAGTTTTGTTATTCTGGTGGGTCAAAGGTGTATCTGGATTTCATCCTTGGTGGGGAGATAGAACAGTAGGGATGTACCTCACCTGTGCAGCTTTCCTTCCTGTACTCTTCCTGCCCAAGTCATGGACCACATCTCCAAAAACCCAAGCAAAGAACAACAACTAGGTCACTGCAGGGCCTGTCAAGTCCATGTCATACAGGTCTGATGACAGGCAATTAAGTCTCAAGTCCACATTATTGTGGTGAACACCAAGGAGGTGAAAGGCAGCCAGTGATCCATTACCAACACTGAGCCAAAGCAGACTTGGACAAACTCACCCATGTCATCCACATTACTTTAAATATCCCTCAAAACCATTCATTTCACTAAGATTAGTAGGTGCTGGAGAAAAACAATCCCACTTCACCCCAGACAGATTAGGCACTTTCCAGTTCTCCATCAAGGGTCTTTGTTAACACCTCCTGTATCAAGGCTGGCAACACTAATATTATCTTGGCATTACTTTAAGGCCTGGCTTGGAGTAAGATCTATGGGCCTCTACAGTTAAGAAAAAAACACTGCTTCCAGTTACAGAGAAAAGCTTACATCTGTGGGTTACCCAAACTCAGCAGTTACTAGCTGGGCCATAAAGTCAGCTGTAGTAGGAGCTGGACAATATCTCAACTCCTTTCAGCAAATGTCACACATTTCTGAATAGCAGCCAGTCACAGGCCATCCAGTGGCTTCACCAGCAGGATGCCTTAATTAAAGCCTGCTGCTCTACAGTTCGTGACTCAAGCTCACCAAGCATTGCTCCAGAGAGAAGCAAAGCAGTCTGACTTTGACCACTGCAAGACCAACAGGCAATAGGAGTCTTCTTACCTCTGTGTGAAATTTGTTGTCACACAAATACAACGACGTATTGATTGGTTTAAAAGGTTCAAAGTCAATGTTCACTTTCTTCTCTTTTCCTTCTTCTGTCACAATTGTCCCACAGTAAACAACCAGACCATTTGGAGGTACTACAAAGGACACAATGCAATTTTAGATCACAAAGAAATATTGCAAGCTGTACCCATCATAACTAACTACTAAGCTTTAAGACTTCAGGTGGAGTTGAAACCAAAGATCCCACGTTTTTTACTTCTCGTTTACCCCACCTCATTCCCTCCCAGATGGAAAAACAAACTAATTTGGTGCACCTATAGTCAACAGTTCGGAGCATGAAGCTAAAGGTAACACTGGTGGAAAGAGCTGCAACAGCATGTATTTGTCCGTTGAACTTGTGAGCTTGCACACGCACAGAATCCTGGAAGAGGCTCAATATCCCTCCAGAAATAGGCTGGCTGTTCCCCTGAAGCTTTCCTAGTTCTTCCACAGGGATTTACAGACTGCCCATCTCAAAGAAGGCCGCTTGCCAGCATGAAGACAGTCATGATGAACTCTTTTCCAGTACCCATTTTAGATGGTGTGGGTCTATTTCCTCCCAAAATGATGGCAGCTGCACAGCGACGTGCACAAGGCATTCCTAAGCTTCTGCTTGACGAAGGCCAAGGACCACCTTGCTAAGCTAGTCCCACGGTCCACCCCTGAAGTAGCCACCCACGGGCAACATACCTGAACGTCAGTGCAAAACAGCAGCACAGGCCAATAGATTTGATTAGCAGAAATCTGCATAATGCAGGAACATAAGGCTGCTCCCGAGCAAGGGCAGTCTGCCAGCACCCCCAGCAGCTAGGAGTTACCTTTGTTATAGAGTTTCAGTCTTTGCTGTACAGATGTAATGGCTCCCAGCACTGAAAGGCGATTCACGCGGGACTTGATGTTGGAGGCGGTGCCGAACTCGTCCGCTAACATTTTTGCCACTCGTGAAATCTGGTCTTTGGGGGGAATGATCAATGATATCATGCTGGTACCATTGCTGAGAAAGGAAACAAAACAAACAAAAAAAGATGGGTTGTGAGCAGCCAGCAGCCAAGGCAACAAGCGTCTTCACACACTATTTCATCCATGCAGCTGCCTCTCCTCCCTCCCCCACGGAGGCTTCACCTCACTGTTACCCTTCTGCTGGGCACTCATGGGAGAGAACAAACCAACCAGGCTCTTCAGAGGACTTGACTCCACAACCAAATGTTCAGGCTGGCCACTACCAAGCAAGGCCTCCAAAAGCTGCTTGTTTAACCTGGGATGCTACTCTGGAAAACACAACGTATTCACCAGCCTAAGGGCTGCAAGCTGAAAGCATGCAAGCAGTTCCCTACAGACATTAGCTAAAACAATGCAGCCACATACTTTAAGGCCATTTTAAAGCCCATTCCATTTGTCCTCAGACAGCTGGAGCACTAGGCAGCCCAAATGCTGGCTTAACACATGGTTTCCCTCAGATTAAGACAGAAAACTCAACTGGATGGCTCCTTTTGTAGCAGTTAGTCTTTTCTACTTTCCTACTAGCACTTTGCTTTATAAAGAAGCTCACCAGCTGTGGCAGCTGCCTTAAAGACTTCTTAAGTACACAATCCAGTTCAGAAGCATCAACCCCAAGCACAGAGTCAGGAGATAAGACCCCACAAATCACAGAACTGCCTGAAGTTAAATGAGAAAAAGTTGGATATTCATTTTGCCTATGGCTTTGGGGTGGATCCTGCAGAACTCTTAATCCCCAAAGCAGCCTTGTGGCTCAAATCCATCCAAAGCCAAAATGAAAGTCAAAGAAGCTCCTGTCTGCCTTCCAGCAGGTACCTCCCATCTGCCACTGAAGTATCCCAGATGTCTGAAGCGCCGCTTCCGCATCGTCTCAAAGTTAACCCAGACCTCACACTTTACATTAGAGTAATGGCACAAAAATCAAATACCTCCTCATGTCCTCTAGCCCTCTCAAGGGGAAACCAGCTGTGAAAAAACCTCAACTCGAGATTCTGAGTCAGAGAACCAACAAAGTGCTTTTCAGCCATAAAAAACCTCAACCTGAACCCAAGGTTTTGTTCTTCTGCATTGCTTACACCAGGAGACAACTAACACAGAACCTGCTTGCTGCTGCTTCAGACTATCATGCACTAGCATCCTGCCTGAAGTGTTTGGGCTACAGAGGCAGTGGAGAAGTGCTTTAAAAAGCATCACTTCATTAGCCTCTTTACAGAAGAAGTTGCACAGCCCTCTTCCAAAGATCTTCAATTCAGGCCAAGTTGAAACGGATGCTGGTAGGTCAACCAAGTCCCTGACCTTAAAGGCAACTAATTGGTTTTAATATCCGAGATCCCCACACACACTAATCAAGGAAGTTGCAGAGAGACACTTGCACACGTTATTCCCAGAAGGGGCTCTGAGCCACGCTGACAGCTATCAGACTTCCAGGTCACACCAGCCAAGAATACTCCATCTACCACTCAATTAAAGCTGCTATCTCCCCCAGTGAATGGCAGCAGCCTTAGGGGAGAGATAATGGCCTATCATTCCCAGCAGGCTCTTTTGAGTGAGAGGCTGATCAGAATGAAAGCAACTCTTCCTGCCTCTTCTGAAAGTAGCACTCTTAAGGGAAGCTCACGAAGGCCATTTCTTCCTCTGAAAGAAGCTTCTCAGGCTTCCCAGAGAGGAGAAAGCTCTGCACATCACATCTAACTTGCTGCAGGAACTGAGGGCATCCTGGTGTGGTAGGTGGGAGATGGGATCATTATGCCTCTCGGGCACTCCACAGCTCTCCTGCCACAAAGAAATTTCATGCAATTTTTCCTGTATTGAGGGCACAGAGGAAAGAGGAGGCAGCAAGCTAGGAAGCAGGTGGGAAGAGCAAGAAGGAAGATGGGCTGTGCTCTCCCAAGATCAATTCTTCAGTAGAAAAGCACTTGTAAAGGTACCTTCTGTTTTCAAATCCCAGAATTCCAGCACCATGGGGGTTGGATGGACCTCTGGAGATCATCCCATCCAAACACCCTGGCTCCAGCAGGTCACCCGCAGCAGGGTGCCCAGGATCACATCCAGGTGGGTTTGGAATCTCTCCAGAGAGGAGACTCCACAGCTTCTCTGGGGAGCCTGCTCCAGGCTTGGGCACCATCACAGCAAAGAACTTTCTCCTCCTGCTCAGGTGGAACCTCCTGGGTTCCAGTTTGTGCCCGTTGTCCCTTGTGCTGTTGCTGGGCACCACTGACAAAAGTCTGGCCCCAGCCCTTTGTCCTCTGGGGGCCCTTTAGCTCTTGCTCAGCATTGATCAGATCCCCTCCAGAGTCTCCTCTTCTCCATCTGATGAGCCCCAGGGCTCTCAGCCTTTCCTGGCACAGAGATGCTCCAGGCCCCTCAGCAGCTTTGGACTCTCTCCAGTGGTTCCTTATCTCTCTTGAACTGGGGAGCCCAGAACTGGACCCGGTATTACAGAGGTGGCCTCACTAGGGCAGAGCAGAGGGGTGCAAAACTTCCCTTCACCTGCTGGCCACACTCTTCTGAATGCACCCCAGGAGACCACTGGCCTCCTTGGCCCCGAGGACACATTGCTGGCTCATGGTGAACTTCCTGTTCAGCAGCGCTCCCAGGTCCTTCTCTGCAGAGCAACCCAGGTCCTTCTAGCAGGTCAACCCAGGAGAAATCCCAGCCCCTGGCCTTGTGTTATGTTCCACCAGCCCAGGAATAGAGGCACCAGCAGCTCTGCACACTGGGAGCCAGCTGGCCTGCACCAAACCCACACCTTGAAGGGGCCACTGTACCTGGTGATTATTTATATTACACACAGAGTCTTATCTCTAAGGCAGAGTCACATGTCAGCCAAATCACTGTTCCTTAGGAGCACTCTGCCCAAAGCATGCTACCTGAGGTAATTTGGTGGAGTTCACAAGCCCTCGTGATTTATTACTGCAAACAAATAACTGAAAAGGTCTCTCAGATGATGCATTCTCCTGCATTTAAGTCTGAAAATTCACACAGCACAGTACTGTGCTTGGTCCAACCCTTCAGCAGATTCCAGCCTGGGTTTCTATCCAAGAGCACCTTCCATTCCCAACACCGAGTGCGTTTCTTGGGTTTGATGTACTTTCACCACTATTTACTCAGCCCAAACTATTTTTGGCATTACCCAGCTCCTGCAGAATCCATCAGAACAGCAAGCATGCAGCTTGCCACCGCAGCTGGAGCACCTCACGCTGCAGAAGCCCGGAGCAGAAGAAGCCAGTCAGCTTGTCACCCCATGTCCCAGCACCCCAAGGAGGGCAGCCCCTGCCAGCATGCTGCTGCCTGCTGGATACAGCTACTCTACCTAAGGAGTTCATCAGGCAGCCAGCTAATTGAAGGTAACAGTCAGCACCCTCCTTGTCTCCCTTGCCATTAAACAAGCAGGATCTGATCACTGAATTAGATCATGTCCCACAGAGGTTGAGACCAGCAAGACACCCAGCTGGAGCAGATGTGCATTCAAGTGACCAGGATGGCTGCACAACTCCCTCACACACCACTAGGACCTTGTTATCCTACCACAGGAGAGCGCTTTTCCCCTCTCAAAGCAAGCCTGCACCTGTACACGACCTTACTGCAGGATGGCAAGGTCTAAAAAAACCTGTGGCTGTATCTGCTAAATTCACCCCAGTGAGACAAAAACATAGCAAAGAGTTTCTAAGAAAGCCGGTGTTCAAAAACAGTTAGAAAAAAATAGGTTACTCCACACAGCAACACAATTTCCAGGTTTTCTACCAGCTTTTGCAGGCACTGTGCCCAAAGAAGCCAACAGGTATTTCTGAAGGATCCCATGCTGCTTCCTCTTCCCATGCAGCTGCTGGATGAGCTGTGCACCAGGTTCTAGAGTACGTGTGCTCTGGGAACAAGGCAGGGGAAATCCTGCTGACTACTGCCTCCCGGAAGGAGCCTTTCCAAAGAGCAGGCCTCCAAACCCGACAAAGAGCGTGGGACATCTGCTGCCAGCCAGGACCTCATTACAGAACTGTTACAGTGAACAATTAAGTAATCAATCCAGATTAAGGGCAGTGCTTGCAGTGGGATCGAACGGGCAACGGGCTGGTCCTTCCCCGTGTCACCCCCAGCACTCCGTGACTCTCGGCAGGACCCCGAATTCAAAACGCAGGACTGCTAAGAGGTCACCCCTTCTCCCTGGGTGTTAGTGCACCCAAGACAAATCACACTAGAGCAGCTGGAGGCTAATGCTTTCAGACTGAGCTGAGCCAGGGGGTTTTAAGCAGCTCGAGCCAGTCGCTGTCCCTGCTCTGGGTGACGGAGAGCTGCCGCTGGAGCGCGAGTCCACGCGTCAACCCCAAAGTGCCCCGAGATGTTTGGTGTATAAGAACTTGGCACCCCAGACCCCAGGATGATGGCACCACGTGTGCTAGCGGGCAAGGGACAGGGGAGGAGAAACAATTAGAAGCATTATGGGCACCTGTGCACAGGCTACAGAGACCCAAGGGGGCGATTAAGCACCAGGCACTGGGAAGGTAGAAACGCTTTGCTGTCTGGGTACTATGGTTCCTGCTCATGCTGTGCCAGTAATTGGCAATTAGCTCTGACTTAGCCTGGCCTGGAAAGTACCAGCATTAGGTGTCTCTAGGATAGAGGATGACGACCAGCACTCCAACTCTGCTCCTACACCACTGCAGGTGGGCTCCAGCCTCGCTTCTACAACCTGCCAGAGTTGTTGGGGGAAAGGGGAAAGCAAAACCAAGAATGTTTTGCTCCCTCAAGACAGAAAGTCCTTCAGAAAATGGAGGTTTATGGATAGGACAGCCCATTCTACTATTAAAGCTTCAACGTTACTACAGTTTGAATGCCAGACAAGCATGCCACAAAGCAAACAGCTTTCCCAGCCATGGAGAGGCCCAGGAGCAGACGTTAACAAGTTCCCACAGCGAGGGACAGTGTGTGTGGTGCCGAACCCTCGCTAACCTAGCCCCGAAAAGCTGAAGGGAGAAGTTTTGCCACCAAGCAGGTACTACAGCATCCAAGCAGCTCTTTCTCCCTGCAAGATCTTCCTGTGCTGCCCAAGAGGCACCATCCATGGTGCATCTCCCCGTGCCTGCCCAGCGGCGGTACTGCAGACCTAGAGAACAGGAAGAGGGATTTGTCAGGAGACCCCGGAGCAGATGGAGGCTGTGCTGAGTCCCAGACCACACCTGGCAGCAGAAGCAGTGCCCACTGCATACACGTCTGATGGTTCACCATGAGGAAGCCACCACAACAGAAGGCAAGTGCACAAAGCAAGCAACGTATCTCATTTGAAGTCAGCTGCCAAGCATCCTCCATGGATGGCTGTCACTACAGCAGGCAGCAGAGCCTCCTGCTCCGGGTGGCCACCTTCATCTACAGAGACTCAGTTTCTACTCTCTCACTTGTCAGAGGGAACAGCCGAGCAGATCCTCAGCCCCTCAGCTCTCAGCTGAAGCTAGAAACTGGTCTGGTGGTTTTTCTAAAAGGCCCCTGCCATCTCCTGCAGCGTTACGTCAGTAGGATGGCTACCTGCACAGCCACATACCACACACACCAAACCAGCAAGCACCAGCTGGAGCTCCCCTCAACTTGGCAGACAAGAGCAATCCCAACCAGAAGCCTGAGAAGGAACAGTCACTCAACCTGTCTCCCGGAATTTGGGATATGTGCTGGCAAAGGAAAGCATTAATTTAACAGATGTGCTATATAAATAGCAGTCACTGGCCTATCCTGTGGTATCAGAGACTTGACAAACAGCAGCTGGACTGTAGCTGTTCCACAATGAAACATTTCACACTAATAGCACGTTGTGTAATGGGGGGATGCAGAGACAAGGAAGCTCAGGCATTCTTTGTGACTCAAAATGAGCTTATTTTTATGGGGCACTAGCTTCGTGAGCATCTTGCTTTCCCCAGGAACTAAGGGCAGCACAAGGCCTGCCTGTCACTGGCAGGAGCGTGGAGGAAACAGAGTTTAGATAATCTGGTGCTAACCACATACCACAGCTACAAAGCTTTCTATGAAATAACTGTTGTCACATACTGTTTCAAGCAATGTTACTTTCCCAAGGTAACATCTGTTGGTCTTCATCCAAGAGGACCAGGGATTACTGGGCAGGCATCCTGAGAAGCCCAAGCTGCCTGGACAGCCAAAACTGCTAAAGTTATACCAGTTACATCACTGACTCGTCCACACCCAGCTGCAGGTCAGATCCCAGCAATATCTGTGTAATCCAAGGCAGAACTTCACAGGCACATGCCACAGGTCCAAGAGAAGAGACCTATTTCTGAACAAATATCCACATGGCACTGCAGGCACAGCACGCTTCCACAAAGGACTACGCGCAGTCCACACCAGCAATGATGCAAGTAAAGAATATTTGAGGGATTTTTGATCCTATATCTGAGCAGAGATGTTGAATGAAGTGCTACGAAAACTAAGTGTTCTGTGGTGTAGGCAAATACAAAATTGCTGGTTTGGGTTCTGTTACAAAACACGGGCCATTAGACACTCCCTACCTGTTCAAGCCCTGTGTGCAACAGCACTGACCTTGCTGGAGGGAAGCTTTACACATATGCTCTTGTAACTTATGAATTATGGCTGTGAAGCACATAAGTCATAGCCCTTTAAAACCTTCATGTCTTTTAATATACAAAGCCTTCATCGAATAGCAAGTGGCTCAAGTCCACTCGAGATGCCAGATTTTGAGAGATGACAACAGATGCAAAAGCTACGTAACTTTTCCTGGAAATCCTGTCAGCCTGCTAGGGAAAAGCACAGACAATCTTTAGAGTCTAGGATCCCTCCAGTGCTTCAGAGGCAACGTCACCTGGAATCTTACCCAAAGGCTTCATTGCCTTTGAGAAGATGGGCTGAATGCTTTGCAACAGACAACCGACACACCTCGACCTCATGGCTGCCTGAGAAGCAACAGCTTTGTGGGATGTCTCCATCAGAAACAGACGAATGCCCGCTCCCTGTTCAGATGGTGGGCCCAAAGCACAGCTTGAGCAAAAGACAAGTGCTGCACAGGTGCCTAAACAGAGCACACAACACCAGTTAGCTGACAGTGGGACCTACCATTAGCTCCTTTGAAGTGTAATGCAGAGTTGAGCTGGAAGCCACGCTGCTGGCAGCACTTTGTGCAGCATCATTTCAGCAACAACCTCACAACCCCCCTCTCAGAGGCATTCTGCATTTCACCACTGTACACCAGAACTCTGGATCATCCATCAAAAGGCAACATCAATACAAGTTGTTCCTTGAAGGTTTCTGGGTCATGTAAAGAAGGGTATGCGGATATGGAAGAGACCAGCTCCCAGGCAAAAGTAAAGCAGAGATGGATGCAGTGCCACCTCAGAAGCACAGAAAAAGCACAAGATGGGGACAGGGTAGATATGAGGGGAGTATCACAGAGCCAGGAGACCAAGTAATTCTTTCCTCAAGAGTACTTTTCAGCATTATTTGGATAAAGACTGCTCTGCTGAGCTGAAGAAACACTCCAGATTCCCCCACCAGCCTTTGAATGCCACCTCTACCCTGGACAAAGGAAAATCACTTAGTTGCACAGCATGAAGCCATGCAGCTATTGCCACCGTGGCTCACATGAGGCCAAGCTCTTGAACTGTACTTCTGTCCCAGAGCCTGAGACAGGAATCTTGTCTATCATCTTCCTCTGATGTCAGCAGATTGGACAGAAAAAGCACTTTGTGTAACCAGAAACAGCCTGAAAGTGGAGATTAAGACTATGCTGAGAAGGTGCTCTGCCCTCTTGCCCTGACCCACTGACCTTCTCAAAGAGGAAAGGCCCCCAGATGCCAGGCCCTGACCGTAAGCTAGGGAGTGAAGCACCAATCCAGAACCCAGCCTGGAAAAGCAAAGGCAGCCTCAGTGCACCCCCTGCTTCAGCAGCAAGGGAGAGCTTCCCATGGGGAGGAAGCAAATGGCTTCTCCAGCAAAGGAGCAGAGCAAGACTGGCTAGTGTTTCACCAAGGGTCAGGCAAGGTAGTGCTTCCTCCCCCTCCTCGGCAGTCGCTGGCCTCCTGCCAGGATCTGCCTCCCGAGCTCAGCACACATGGCTCCCCAGGGACAGAAAGGAGGTGAAAGAAGAATCAGGTCACAGACCTCCGTACCTCCACACCACAGAAAATTCGGCCAGGTCTCCCCTGTCCGCAGGCTGCAGAGGGAGCAGGTAAGGTGGAGCCCTCCTCAGCCCTCGTCCAGCGCGCGCTACCCGCGCAGAGCTCAGCGTAAGCAGCTCCACGCTCCCAGCCCCGGCTGGAGCCACTGCCCAGGTCCCAACCTCACCCACCCCGTGCAGCTGCCACACACCCCACGGGGCAGGTGCATCAGGGCCAGTCCGAGAGCCTGGGATCAAAGGCAACACATCACAAACCTAACTGCGTAGGTCTGGTTTGAACAGGCCTTATTGGCTGCATCTGACCTCATGCAGAAAGACCGGATGCCCAATTACCAGTAAGTGGAACAGACATTTCTGCACTTCAGACATTTGTGACTCACTGGGAGGCTCAGTTTTGCCACAGCTCCCCTGCTCTCCCTCCTTCCTCTCCAATTATTAATGCTCCAAGTTTAAAAGACTTGTTGCATTATGCTAATGGGCCAGCTGGGTACAAGATGTACACAGAGGGACTGAAGCAACAAATCCAGATTTGCTTGTTAAGATGTTAATGCCTCAGAGCTACAGGGGAATATGGAGCTAGCAGGGTGGGGAGAAGAAATCCAGTTGCCACAAAGCCAAAAAAAAAAAGTCCATCTTCTGAAGTGCTCATTGCCCTCTTCTACCACATCATGTGTCTTGGGCAGTCAGGGGCTCATTCATTAGCTCGCTGTGAAAGATGATCTGTGTGTGAATCACACTGCTCACTAATGACTCGGGCCGTGCTGAGGGGGGTATGGGGCTGCTGAGCTACCACACACTCACTGGGGCTCTCCCAGACCAGGCTCTTCTCTGCCACCTGCTAGCACGTGCCCTCGGAACAGCACTTCCTAAACGTTGCTCTAACTCCCAAGGAACAGGTAGAGCAGGCAGACGAGAAAGCACATTAACGTTTTACCGTAGTTAGAGGCAACCAGCAGGATGCCAAGCACCCTCTGGGCGGTCTCCCCAGCTCTCTCACCTGGCACAGGGAGAGGCCACCCACCGTCCACACCACCAAAACACAAGCTCTTCAGAGACACCACCCGAGTCCCGAGAGGTCTGACCAGCCACGCTCCCACAAAATCCACAGTCAGCTTCTAACCCCAGCACTAGGGAGACTGGCAGAGGCATGGCAGAGAAATGGGGCATCCTATGAGATCACCCGCCACAGAGCCCTCAGGCAGCTCTTCTGCCCAGGACTATTCCTATTCCAGCCTCTCTGCACACCTCTCCTCCTCCTCCTCACACTATCAGAAGCAAAAAGCAGTCCTAATATTGCAGCCTCTACCTCTGTAACAGAAATGTGATCTCCTTTAGAACTACCCTGAAGACAATCAGGCTGAGAAAGCACCACTCAAGGAAGCAATTTGGCTTAGGTAAGAACTTAAATCACCACCTCTTCCCTAAACACTCTACACCTTTAACAGATCACAAAGCCAAAGCAGAAAACTCCTTGTCAGTAAAATTCCACGTGCCACCCCGCAGACACTGCTCCTCCAGTCCTTGCCCCATTCATTTTCTGCACTCCTCAGAGTGACAGACATCCAAGGCTGGCCCAGCCCAGGTTCCAGCAGAAGCAAAAGCAGCAAAGGCAGGTCCACCAGAGACATCGGCTTGCTGTGGAGAGATCCTCATGGCTATGCCATGATTGGCATGAGCATGACATATCAGCACTGCAACCCTGTTAACACAGCACCAATTGAAAGGCAGGTAGTACCCTGCCACAGCTCACAGACCAACCAGCTCACCCAGCCCAGATCAACGTCTCCATCATACCCACATCCTAAGGTGAAAGCTTCAGCTCTGCAGAAACAGATCCTGTATCAAGGGTTAAACTGCTTCCCTGAGCCCAGACCTGAGGCACAGCCACAACAA